GCTACAGCACAATGTTACTGAACTATGTGGTAGAATGATACAACGTGTGGAAGAGGTTGAGCTTTCAAACGAAGACTTCACCTATTTAAAGGGTTGGGCTCTAACTGAAGTTCAGCAGCAACACAAAGCAGTGAAGCTGCAATGTCATGATGATCGTTTGTCGTTATCCATTGATGGCTTTATGAATGATGTTAATGAGGTCAAGTCTAAGTTACCACAGTATTTAGTTCATAGTAAAATTCCTGTTAGCCTCCAACCAGAAGCATTGAAGTTTTTACATGATGACCAACCAGGAAGACAAAAGCTTAATACCATGCTCAAAGGTCATCCTGAGGTCATTCCTTATTTTACTAATAGTGCAAATAGTCAGCTTTTTTTCCTTTTACTCTGCTCAAATAGCCATATTGATAGAGCTGAGCATGTAGCAACAACCATTCAGCAAGAAATAGTAGTCCAGTCTGTTGATTTACCTCAATCATTTTCAAGACAAATATCCGATTCAAAGTTTGCGTTATTTCGAACTAACCTTGCCAAAAAATGTTTTTTTTCTGCCACTGTTCATAAAAACAAGCTTACATTAGTCAGTATTCGTAGCAGTATAGCTGACGTTAGTAGAGAATTTCATACATTTGTTACTGAAGCTTGCTCTGTCACTGATGTAATTCATTTTAAAAGAGGAGTTTGGCGTCTGTTGCATTCAACATCAATGGAGAAGAAGTGGACTGACTTTGTTGAAAATATGAAAATGAGAGGCATCATGATTGTTTCCTTGTCAAAACCATCTGCCCAAAAGCCATACATTAAGATTAGAGGAGAAGTACATAATTTGGAGTTTGCAAAGGAAAAAATTTTGGAGTTCCAAGCTGCAGTGAAAGAACAACAGGTAGTAATCTCTCGTTCACATCCAGGAATGGGTAAATATTTCTTGAGTAATCCTCAAGGTCAGACCATGCTAAAAGGTATTGAGTATGAAGCTAAAGTTTGTATAGAAGTTGAAGTTATTGAACAGTCCATGGCAGCTGGTCGAAGTTCAAAGATTGTTGCTTTTGGAACTACTGCCGAGATAAAGAGGGTTAATGTGATAGTTGGTGATATCACAGAATTTGATAGAGCTGATGTTATTGTTAATGCTGCTAATGGCCAACTAGCTCATGGTACTGGTGGTTTAGCTGCTGCTATTGTAAAAAGAGGTGGTCCAGTAATCCAAGAAGATTCCAAAAGATATATTGATAAGAATGGATTTCTTTCTGACGGAAATGTTGTTCTCTTTCAAAGGGCTGGTAACCTACCTTATAAGGCAATAGTTCATGCAGTAGGTCCACGTTGGAATAGATTTGGAGACAATGCAAGAGAGACAGCATTATTAAAAAAGGCTGTCCGCCAAAGTCTTGAGAAATCCAAGGGTTATACCTCAATAGCTATCCCAGCAATAAGCAGTGGTGTGTTTGGTTTCCCAGTTGATGTGTGTGCTGATACTATTCTAAAAGCTATTGTAGAGTTTAGTGGTGCTGACCCTGGCTCACAGCTTAATGAGATCAATATAGTTATTTTTGAAGATAATGTCAACGAGTTTTTAAAAGCAGCTGAGAGAGAATTAAGAGGTTTCCAGTCTTATAGTTCTACTCAAAGTTCACTATTTTCCTCATCAGCAGCAGCTCTTTCAATTCAAGGTGCACATCCTTTTTCTGTTTTTAATGATTGTAGTCCAGATCATGCAACAATACTTCCAAATATTTCTCTGGATTCAAAAGTTACGCTTCACATTTATGGTGAGACAGAGCCAATAGTAAGGGATGCAGAGAAGATGTTACGTGTAATTTCTTCTCTGCAGTCTACAATTGCTACAACATTTCATACTGAAGAAATTACTGATCCTTGCATCACTGCTTTCTCTGATGAAACTCTACATGAGCTTGAATCATTTGCAAATGATCACAATGTTAACATCGAAATTGATCGAGATCCTAACCTTTATTCAGTTAACCTTCGAGGATTGTTTCAAGATGTTATGCTTGTCAAAGATAAAATTCGTGAAGCGACGTCCTCTATAACTCGAGAGCAATCAAAGAAAAGGGCTGCTGCCTTAGTTTCTAAAACTGTACGCTGGATAAGGATTAATCCAGA